GCTTTTGGGTAGTCTATTTTTGGAAATATACCCTATTAATTTTTTATTTATAAAATTTTAACTTTTCTCTGGTTGATTGTCATAAGAATGTATTGATAAAAAAATATAGGTGTACACATTACTCTTTCAATAAGAGGGATACTCATAAGTATAGTAGGTATATACGATGTATGATGTGAAAATTTTTATACGATCTTGTTTATGGTGGTTTATAGGACATGCTAACATTAGGTGAGATGTTTTGTCTATAAGTGTGATGCTTTTATGGTAAGTTACATAAAGCGTGATTTGTATGAGTTAAGATTTGATTCTCTCATCTGTTAGGACTGAGGTATTTAAAGACGCTCTCTTGAGCATGAGTTCCAGAGTTAGTGAGAGGTTTTGTCCTAGCTCCATGACCAAGAAATTGGTCAAGGGAAGACTTAGTCTTCCTAAAATTATGGAGGAAGTGAGGAATTAGTTCCCCCGTTTGACTGGCTCTATCGGTATCTTAACTTAATCCAACAAAATGGGGTTATTCCTTCATTGAGCTTCCAGGTGCAAGCCATGAGGGAGAGGTCCATGCCCTTTCTACGGGCTACCAGGTTCTATCCTTTGGGGGGGGGGGTGCTCTCTCCCCTTATTTTGGCTACAAGGTGCTAAACCTGAACGCGACCACTTTTGGGCGATCAGGTGCTAGCCTTAGGGGATGTTCCCACCCTTTCTTTGGGCTAATAGTTCTGTCCCTAGAGGGAGGCTCACACCCCTTCCTTGGGCTATTAGGTGTTAGCCCTATGAGCCACCACTTTTTGGCGATATAATGGTAGCGATGGGGCGGAAGGGCTTTTCCCCTTGTTGGGCTACTAGGCGCTAGCCCTAGGGGGAGGCTACCCATTTCTTTGGGTGATAGCCCCTTTTGGGTACTCCTTATTATGGCATAATAAAATATAACACTACACAGTCTCTCAAGCATAAAGACTTGGTAAAAGGATAAATGATTAATGAAGTTATATGTGAATTGGTCCTTTAGATTGGCTGAATTTTTGCAAAATAACAACATGGAGAAATGTTCAAATTGTTTAAGTTGATCTAGCTTGCATAAGTTGTATGGAGGTGCAGAAAGGACACATGTTAGACACGATATCCCAACATGTTGATACTGTTAGGCAAAGGCAACTTATCTAGATGAGGGGTGAATAAACCCCCAAAGTAAAAATTACCTTTTAAAAATTATGTTTTTACAGAAGAATAAAAAACTATGGTAAGCGGAAGTTTTAGCCTAGATCAAACAAGTCGTCTAAATCGAAGTGATTATTAGAAACTCTTATATGTGTAATATACCGAATGAAATGCAATACAATGATAAGAAATTTAATACAATAATTTCTCAATCAATCGTTTTACTATAATCACAATGATAACCTATTTCTAATGAAATTATTGATAAAAACATAAATTAGCCAATTATCAAACACTTGATGTGGAATCGATTTTGTAGATTCTAATTGATTGTTACGAAATCAACAAAGCTATTTCAATTCTAACAATCAAAATATTTGTCTATACGTATCGATTACACAATTAATGAATTTAACAACTTGATATATAAAGTATATAGAAGTAAATGAGAGAGAGAGAGAGAAAGAGGACACAAGGATTTGTTTAGGAAGTTCACCAATATTCCTCGCTAAGGATACATATGCCCCCAATTATGTTTGAAACTGAGATATGAATTCTTGTTTTGTAAAAAATTATTTACAAGAGAAATGTAGAAATTCAATCCTACAAACCCAATGTTTAATGTTAATTCTAACCCTTTCTCTTCCCTTGATATTGAGCTCAACCAAGTAACAAGATAACATCAATTGATTCACCGTCTCACGCTACTCCTTTACAGGAACCCCCATTCTTCAAAGCTTTCACTCGATTGAATCCAATTGCAAATTATCGTAACCCAAGATTTCCAAATGACTCACTGTCTCAGGCTACTCCTTCGATAAAAACCCACTGTTCTTCGAAGCTTCCACTCGATTGAATCCAATATTTGTGAAATCTTGTGAAAACCCCCACAAATCAACACTATGATGTTGCAGGACAAACCCTAGGTTTTTTTTGGATGTAACCCCCTAAGATTCTCAACTCAATACACTGGTTACACCAACCTAAATTGGACGTTATCAACACACGTCTAGATGGAACCCAAACAAAAAATGATTATGTGTAGCTTGTTTGTGTGTATGCATATATGAGAGATTGAAGATGATGAACAATCTTTGTATGTGTTTATAGTTTCATCAAGTTGAAAATGATGCATGCATGAAGTATTTATATTTGTGCAAGTTGGAGGCAAAAGGGAAATTTATAAGTTTGAGAAAGAATGCAATTTTTGAAAAAAACCTGCAGCATGTGTCGACATATATAAGTCACGTGTCGACACATTTTATAACATGTGTCGACTTGTTCAAGGTCATGTTCGACACATAGATACATAAGCCACATGCTTTAACAATGAGTTGTATGTGTCAACCTGGAGATCATATGAGTCGACACATCGAAGAATTTTTTTAGTATGTGTCGACTTAAAATAGCTATGTGGATCGACACATAGTTAGAGAGACTATAGCCTTTAATATGGACCAACATATGTTATATGTGTTGACACATAAACCCGGTTTTCATGCAGAAATTGATTTTAATGCATGATATCTTTTCCAAACACGTTCTAAGTGCATTCTAAGTACCCTAATGCAAAGGTGCACATAATGACTCAAAGGTATTGTCTAATATACAAAAATGCTAAGGTTATCCTAGTTTTGACATCATACAAAACTTCTGACAGAAAAGTACACTCGCATACTCCCCCTTTTTGATGATGGTAAAACTTACATGATGTGTTTTGTGTCTTCATGAAGGCTCCCCCCCTGAATATGTGCATCCCAAATTCGTCTCTGCATATGCTTCTTCTCCTTTGACAACATCAAAAATAGATAAATCAAGCCATGAGAAGTATCATTTATCACACAAATACTAATATATCACACATAGGAGTTTTTGTAAAGAAAGAATGTGCACTCACATATACCATATACATGGAGTGACGCAAAATTAAACATAAATAACGAGACAACACCAAACAACATTATATCAAAGTTATTGCATATTATCTTAATAAACAAAAACACAAGCACAACCCAATGTTTCACTTTGATGATGTGATAAAATTGTTAATACATAACACAAAGGAACAAATCATGAAAGATGCATAAGAAGCATAATGTCTCAAAAACAAAAACAAAAATTCATGACACAAATTCATAACAAATGCTTAAACCAACACCCCTAAGACTCAAGGCTTCAAAAACCCATATGATTTATACGACCCCTATATGGTGGCATGCCACCACGATCCATAGACTCACATATCCCTTGATAGAATTGCGAGGTCTCCTCATGATTCTGAATTCTGACGGTCATCATGTTATTTATTCTAGTCTGAGTAGTAGCATGATTGGTACCCATGTCACTACGAATAGAAGAAAACTGCTCAGTTGCAAAGGAGGCAAAGGCATCAAAGTTTGTATCTTGTGCAGTCAAGTCCTCTTGAACAAGCATGGAGCATTCTTCTTTAGTAGTTTGAAAATCAGACCTCCAACACAATTCTTACTCGTAATGCTCATCTTGATTGACCAATATATTTTGAAGCATATCAATTATAGCAGACTCATTTTTAGATGCAATCCCAAAATCATTACCTCATGAACCAGACCCATGCTCTTGAAAACCCCTAACATGCTCTCTATATGCATCACCCTGCTGTGTCCAAGTGTTTTTAACCATTGTCCTCAACCTTGATTTTGTTTATATTGTTGATTTTCCGTAGCATTTATTCATGATTCATCTTCCTCATAATCAACATCATGCATGTGAACATCATCTTAATGAATGTCACCAATTGGTTGCCCATCAACCACAGAAGCATCAAGATATTCTTCAAATTTAGTTGGATTATTAAAGTTGTAGATCTTTTTGCGAGATTCTTTCATAAGGTAGTATGTAAGACCCCAAATTTTAGATTTAATTAAATAATCAATTATTTGTGATTTATTGTGAATTTGTGTGATGTATGTGTAGTATTTTATGGGGTAGTAGTGGATTGGCGTGCTAATTTGAATAATATAGACTTAAATAATTTAGTTTATGTTATTTAGATTTATAATAATAAATAAATAGTATATTAAGGTAAAAAGGGAGAATAAAGGCACGGTGGTAATATGTGATGATAAGTGGGAGTATAAGGGAAATAATATAGAAAGAATCCAAGGAGTAAAAAGATAAAATAGAATAATATAGATCATTCTGTACGATCGTAGATTAGGAAAACACGAAGAAAAGATAGGCCGCATAAAGGAGACGAAGAAGAGATTCATTCCTTAGACTTCGATGAGATCAAGTCGCTAGGAATTTGAGGTAAGGGGTTTAATCTCGGTTTATTATTATTACTAGAGGCTTAAGATTGATGTAGGTTTTGCCTTGTGTGATGATTTGATGAGAAACATGACGTAAGTGTTGATTTGATGATGTATGTATGCTATGATTCGTGTTCAATATGATATGATGATGTATTTTGATGATGACATATGATATATGACATTTGTACTATATTTTTGAATGAGTTGGTGTGAAATCAGAATTATAATAGAGCTGGAAAAGTGCAAAAATTGCAACTGAAAAATTTCTGTTTCGCAAGCATCGTCGGGCAAGCCAACATCGAGTGTGGTAGCGAGTAGAGCGCCAAAACATCGTCGAGAGAGCCAGCTGGCGAGCGAGATGGCGAAAAAGGTGAGATCTTGAAAAATGTATGGAGTGAGAGGCATCGCCAAGACGTCCTCGGGCAAGGAGAAGGTGGGAAGAAGGCGAGCAGAGCACGACCAGGGGCACCGGGCGAGGAGGTGGCGAGCAGATCTAACAATGACTTTTCAGAATGTTGTAACTTAAGTTTCAGAAATCTGTTTGACGCGTCGTTAGTTATTATTATATTTTTGTCTCATAGAAAGAAGAGAAAATGATAAATTCTGTCCACAACAGTCCACATCCTTGCTGTCCACCTTGCTACAAAACAGTCCATCAATTTTGTTGTCCACAACACAACAAAACCAACCTGCATAGTAGTCTAAACCTGCCAAAAAGAGTCTCATAAGATGTCAATCTTTGCACGAAAATGAATACACATAAACTGCATCCAAAAAGGCATTACGAGAGATTATCATATTTGTTCAAATTTAACCAAAAATTCCCTCCCAAAATCCAGTTTTTCAACTATAAGTAAGAAGTTTTCAAGACAGAAAAGAAAAAAAAAAGGAGATTAAGGAAGAGAGTGGTACATCTCTGTGAAAAAGAAATTGTTTCAAACCTTCCTCCTACTTTACTCATTAGTGCTAGACAAAAACTCCCAAAAAAATACACAGAGAAACCACACACGATACTAATAAGAGATATACACAACAAAATCTGTAGTGAAAAAGAAAGCAATATCAGGAAAGAAGAGGAAGAGAGAAACTCGGATCCGGAATCACCTTCTCTGAGCAGATCGTCCATCCCGACGGAACTGCATAACCGCTCTGTCACCTCTGAAGCACAACAGCCACGATGCTCCTCCACATACGATAACCACCCACCTATCTCAGTCACGAAATCCTTCTGACCAGGTTCTTTTTGTGTTTTCCTGTTTAGTTGTTTTGAATCAATATGCTATGTTTGATTTTAAGTGGGAGAGAAAGATCATTGTTGTGTAGTTTGTGCTTCATTCCTCTTATTTCAATTTACTGTGAAAATAGTTCCTTATCTTCGTGTTGCTAATTTGTATTATGTGCTCTCTTTTTTTATATTTTATTTTAGTGTCTTGCCCATATGTCGCTTGTTAACTGGACTAATTTAAATTTTGTAAAAATAAACATATGGACATCTTCCTGAAACGTGTGAGGGAGAGTATGTAACTCTTGTTTTTTTTCCTTTTTTTGGTTATCATGACTTAATAATGGTTTGTGTTTTTATTTTATTTTTTTAACAAGTATGCCAAGTGTCATGATATTAGTGGGGAGAGTTATAGCTTTGAAAAAGTCAAAGTTCTATTTGTTCTCTTTAATTTTTTTCTTTGATTTGGTAAATTGAGTTAGAGAAAACAAAGGGTCTCTGATGCTACTATGACGTCACTCTTACCATTTTTTCTTATTTTTTTACGTCTTTATATTTTTGTTTAGTTAGTTAGGATTAGGATTAAATATAATTAATTAAGATTTATAAGAAAGTAGGCCTTAAGCTCTAGACTTCATACCATCCAACCCCGCTTATGTAATACTATAATTTACTTACTTTAATTTTAATTTGTTGATACATAGTTGTAATTATTATTAAGATAATAATTTGATTAATTAGTCTTAGTCAATTTTTAGCAAACACTCGAAATTTAGTTAAAATACATGGATATTTCAAGAGGTTCTTATAGATAGAGTATTGTAGATATATAGGATGCTAATATCTTTCATTTGTATAATCAATCTTCATACTTTAGTTCTCTTTATTGCATTGCTCTTGATTTACTTTTAGTTTTGCTTCTTGATTTGCATGTTTATAATTGGGTTTTATTTTGCTCTTTCCCCATTCCCTTGAAAATAATAAAGCGTGGTGGTGATTTTACTGTAAAGAAAGTCAAGTCAATCAATGACTTAGTCTCAGATTTTTCACCGCTATAGAAATGACGACTTTACTGAGAATTATCCTAAGTGGGTTAAACCTAACTTGTTATATATGTTTTTTGTTATTATTGTTTGCTTGTTTTATGTGATATTTTCTAGTTCTTTGAGTTTTGGTGATCTTTGCAAGGACAATTCCTATACCTGGACTAAGCTACACTTATATTTAGAATGTGTGGTATAGTCATGTTAGCTTACTAGGAGTGAGTCCTTACTAAGGTGGCATGATATCCCCCGCTTAGTGGAGGCCTCCTTAGGGTAATAGTGTTGAACGAGTTAATCGTGAAAGTAGTATTATTTCGACCTGGGAGCCTGCAAAGTTGAGGACCGTAGAACCCTTAACCTATCTTGGCCTTTCTAGGATGTAATGCAGTGACTATCTAGGAGTAGTCCTGATTTAGTTGTTACGCGGTACTACACTCAGATGAGTTTCTCCTGAGAATATTATTGGATCACGAATAACTCGTGTAAGTCGGTAATATCTGAAAGCGGATCGTAGACTCTGGGAACTTTTAGAACTTTGTTGTACATGTGATAAACCTCCAGTACATACCTTGTGGTTAGTTCTTACCCATGACTCCATGCTCGTGACGTTGAACTTTTGAACCTTATTTGTGACTTTGTTTGTGATTACTGCATAACCATGCATTCATGCATTCATGAAACTTTTTTTCACTTGATTTTCAAGGAATTTAGAGGTATTTCTTTATAAACACCATAATTTTCATCAAACTCAATGGATATGGGGCGTTGATAGGATGAAAACTCTAATCCACCAAAATGAATGATTAATTTTGATGATAACTTGATTAATACTTTGATCCAATTTAGGATTTACTTTCTTTATACTTTAATGTTTGCAATTTAATACCTTGAGTTCCTTGAAACTCAAATAAAAACCAACATTTTGCATCCTTCATAAAATTCGTGCATACATCTAGGTTATCAAAGTATCTCATTCTAGTTGTCTCTTTCTTCTAGTTATCATTCAATTGTCAAGTTGTTTCCTCAACACAAGTATGGGACTAGAGCTAAGATTTGACAAAGAATGACAGACCAAGAACAACATCATATAGAAGTCGGAATGGAAATTGATGAGTTGAAGTTAGGCATGACCAAATTCACTAAGATGATGCAAGTTTTGATTTCTAGAGGAGAACCACCTCAGAGGACTGCCATCTCTGAGTTAGCAACTGCTGTTGTTGATCCTCCAATAGTCGAGCAACCACCCATTACATGGCTAGAGTTTGATACGCCTCATAACTATTCTCCACCTTTTGTCACTACTTCAACGGTTGGCCAATCTTTTCGACCAGTGTTTCAGGCTCCAGTTTTCACTAAACCACAACCAATCGTTCATACTACTTCTCTTCAACTTGCATTGTATCCTATTACACAAACTGCTTATGAGAATCCTCTCTCTGATTATCATTATGTTGCTAGTCAAGAAGATCTTGTTGATTTTGAGGAAGTAGGGGAATAATTTTAGACTTTAGATAAGAGAACGAGGGCCATGAAAGGTAATGAGTTCTTCAGTGTTGATGCTGACAACATGTGTGTAGTTTCTACCCTTGTGATGCCTGCCAAATTCAAGACTCCTAAGTTCGAAAAATACAAGAGGCATACCTGTCCAAGAAGTCATTTGGTCATGTACTTCAGAAAGATGGTTGCCTATATTAACAATCAGAAGTTGCTCATTTATTACTTTCAAGACAGTCTCAGTGGTGCTTCGCGCAAGTGGTATATGGGACTTGAAAGGAACTGTATTTGATGCTTCCCAGACTTAGTTGATGCATTTATGAAGCAATACAAGTACAACCTTGACATGGCTCTTGACATGGCTCTTGACCAACGTCAACTGTAGAGCATGTACCAGAGAGAAAGAGAACCCTTCATAGAGTATGCTCAACGTTGGAGGGAATTAGCTTCTCAAGTTGATCCACCTCTAGCAGAGAAAGAGTTGACTAGCATGTTTATGGATATATTGTCTCCTTTCTTTTGGGAGAATATGATTGGTAGTGTGTCTTCCAGCTTCACAAACTTGGTGACTATTGGTCAAAGGCTAGAAGAGGGAATTAAAAAAGGCAAAGTGTCTGCTGTTGGTGAATCTTCAAATGGGACAAGGAAATCCTTTGGAAATTTCCACAAGAAGAGGGAAGGTGAAACAAATGTTGTCTCCATTGATACAAGAAGACCTATTCAAAGAGCTTAGTATCATGGTCAACCACATGTGGCTGTTGTTACTCTTGCTGTCAATGTTCAACCAAATCATGCTTCTCAACATCAGTCTGTTAGACAAAATCAGAACCGCAATAGGACTAATTTTAATCCTATTCCTATTTCATACACTGAATTGTACCCTGCAATGGTCCAAAGAGGTCTGATTATAACTAGGCCTCTGACTCCTCTATAACCTCTTCTAGTTGGATTCAGATCTGACCTTCACTGTGAGTTCCATCAAGGAGGTGCAGACCATGATTTAGAAAATTGCTATGCACTGAAGGTTAGAGTACAAGAATTGGTGAGAGAAAAGATTCTCACTTTCTAAGATACCAATCCCAATGTTTTCAACAATCCTTTTTCGGGGCACAACAAGTGAAGCTTCAGTCGGAGTCAGACTATCCTTTTAAAGCCAGTGCTTCAGACAGGACAACTCATTCTTGCTACTGATTAGTCACTAGGCCACGTTTCTTTCTGTTTTCAATTTCCCTTTGATTTTAATTTGTTATTTGCTTTCAAGCTTTGTTTGTACTTTCATGTTGACTTTAAGGAAATGAGCATTGCAATGTTTTGATTCAATTTCTTTACACCTTTATGCTTTCTTTTTTCAAAATGAATATATCTCTCTTGATTGCTTTATTTATCAAACTTTTATTTATGCAAAGATTGGAGGGAGGATGATGAAAATGAAATACTCATAATTGTTGTTGGTATGATTTCAAATAAAAATTTGCTGACGATGTAAGACATTGTTTCAATTCCTAAACACTAGAGAAATAAGGAAGTTAATCCCTTATTCACCCCTTTGAGCCTAAGAAGTTGGAGTTTTTTTTTGTACAAAAAACCCGCAAGTTTAACATGGGACATGGTAGATCTCAATTAATTTGATTGTGCATTCAAATACAAGAGAAATCATGCAAGATACATTTTAATAAAGGTTGCAATCAAGCTTTCCTTCGCACACATCAAAGAATTTTCAAAGGTGTCTTCCAAATCAAAAGTGACAATGATAATTCTCTATAATCATTAAGCAAGGCAGTCACTATCTTACCAAAAAAGGAATGAAATGAAAAATCAATAAGAATCCCGCTAAGTCAAAACCTATGAAGGAGACTTAGGCAAAATTGAGGCATCCCGCTAACTGTAAATTCAAAATGAAATAGTTTAGGAAAAAGTTAGGGATAACTCAAAAAAGGTCCTTAAATCCTCAATATTCTCCACCATATTTGACAAAGGTCCTCAATAAAAATAATAAAATGTTATAAGAAGAAGTGTTTGCCATCTCAACAATCCCTTGGTTTGAGTCATCATCATTACTATCATCAGTGCAATTCCAACATCTCTTGAAACCTGAATGCATAGTCTGAGTTAACTGGACATGTAACTGAAGAACATCACGAAGAACATGTTGGGTACAAATAAAACTTTGAGCCTTTATCCTTTGTTTCATAAACCATGAACCAAACCATGTTATAACCCTCAAAAGACCTAATTGAAGTCCAAAAGCATACTACAACAAGATTGCATAAACAAACTCTTAAATTTTTTACGAATCATTTATTTTGGTACTATACTATTGCTTTATCCTTCACTTTGAAAGTTTAAACCATTGTGTTTTGATCAATGATCCATTTATAATATCTTTCCAAAATGATTTTGATTTCAAAAACTCTTGCATGAACTTTGGATTAAATTTACCATGTTTGAATGAACAGTTTGTCTTACAAGACAAGCTTTCCTCATCAAGGAAGTTCAAACAATTAAGAAACTTGGTCAGTGATCCTATCATGGGCATGTTACTTCCAGATCCTGTTGAGGATCAGCTTAAGATTTGTTGCTCAGTACAAGTTATTCTCAGAATTGGTTAACCAATATATCTTCTTCCAAGACTCATATTGGGGAAAGCCTTCCCAATAATCATTTCAAGAACTGAAGCCATGATCAGTTTATCTCCAGGAATAGTCAAACAGAAGCCATGATCAGTTTACCCTTAATAATCTGCTAATCCAGGGTAGTTTTCTCCTGCAGAATCCCCAAACATTTCTTCAGTCTTTTCTCTAAAGGATGATTAATTTGAAACAGTTCACAAATGTGACATAGATGTGTCCAACATTTTCTCCAAGCAAAGTTGGCAGTGTTCCCCGTGTTTAGGAATCAGAGTTCCAATCTTCTCGCCAAAAGAGTTTATCTCAATTGTCATTAATGTCTTCATTGCATGCATAAATCATTTAAAGCAAAATTCAATATCATGCATAGCTCAAAGTGTGTTTCGCATTCATTTTCATTTTTGAGGTCCTGTTGTTATCAATATCTTACCTTGTGATCAAAATCCAACTTATCTTTGTGGTATCAAAATCCAAATTGAAATCTTTGTCCACATCCTTGCTGCCCACCTTGCTACAAAACAGTTCACCAACTTTGTTGTCCACAACACAACAAAACCAGCCTGTATAATAGTCTAAATCTGCCAAAAACAGTCCCATAAGGTGTCAACCTTTGCACCAAAATGAATACACATAAAATGCATCTAGAAAGGCATTACAAGAGATTAACATATTTGTTCAAATTCAACAAAAAATTCCCTCCCAAAATCCAGTTTTTCAGCTATAAGTAAGAAGTTTTCAAGAAAGAAAAGAAAAAAAGGAGATTAAGGAAGAGAGTAGTACAACTCTGAAAAAGAAATTGTTTCAAACCTTCCTCCTACTTTACTCATTAGAGCTACACAAAAACTCCCACAAAACAAAATATGCAGTGAAAAGAAAGCAAGATCAAGAAAGAAGAGGAAGGGAGAAACCTGGATCTGGAGTCATCTTCTTAGAGCAGATCGTCCACCTCAACGAAACTACACAACCTCTCCATCACCTCCGAAGCACAATAGCCACGATGCTCCTCCGCATACGACAACCACCCACTGATCTCAGCCACAAAATCCTTCTGACTAGGTTCCTTTTTGTGGTTTCATGTTTAGATGTTTTAAATAAATATGCTATGTTTCATTTTGAGTGGGAGAGAAAGATCATTATTGTGTAGTTTGTGTAAGAATAAGAGTGTTTCTACATTTGGCCTTAGATTTTGATGATAACATTATAAAGTATCATAGAGAACAATTGAATACTCTAATGGTTTCATTCTAGTGTGTAGATGCTGCTATAACATTCTGACTCTGGTACAAGGCGTGTGACATCGTCAGATTCTGAGCATAAACACTCTAAAAGAAACCACGTTGTTACGTGTTACAGTTGATGTCAAGATTCTAAATACGTCTTATGCAACGTGTTTTATGAATGTTAGTACAAGAAGTTATGATCGTAACTTGGTGGTTAAGCTTTGGAGGCCTTCTAAAGCTTTACTTTTGTGTTACAAGTTCTGATGATTATGAAGACAAGGTTTTGTTGAATAGGTTCTGATGATCTGAAGAAAAGAAATTTCTTACAACCAAGTGTTGAAGACTCTGAAGACGAGGTTCTGATGGGACAAGTTTTAAAGACTCCAAGACTTAGGTTCTAAGACTTAAGAGAAAATCTTCTACAACACTTCAACATTCAAATTATCTGAAGCCTCTGAAGATAAGAAGAAGTTCAAAATTGTTAATGTGTGATGGTCTACAAAAAGTACATAAAGTGTCTGTGACCTCTACTCTTCTAGAGTGGCGTAAGGATAGTCCTTTCGTACTATATTGTCAACCACTCTCATAGTGACCGTTGGGAACAAACTACTAGATTTATAATTACTTTCTTTCTCTAACGGATCTCTATTTTACAAGCTTTTTAGAAAAAAACATTATTTAGAGAAAAGATGGAAAGCTAGAATTAAAAAGGACATATTATAAAAAATATTATTTTATACTGTCTAAACTCTTACACCTTATTCTATCCGTTGTAAACTAATCGTTGATGCAGGTAAAGACTTTTCTATCCTCACAACATCTCTCTCTCTCTCTCTCTCTCTCTCTCTCTCTCTCTCTCTCTCAAGGCTATAAAAGAAGATCAAAGATTTGAAGAAAGTTTCCTTTGGTCAAATAGAGCTTCAACCTGTGAAAGGAAAGCAATGGATGCTGAAGATGTTAAAGCTGCAATGCTACACATTCTGAAGACTACCAAAGAAGAGAGAAAAGAAAGAAGAAGAGAAATAAGATTTCAACAAGATGTTATTCAACTAATCATCATATACATCTTGGATAAAACAAAAGAAGCAAGGAGTTGTTGCTCGTATCTTGCTCAACAAGAAGATGAAGAAGAAGAACACTACAAGATGCTACTCAACTTTTGATCATATACATCTTTGTAGAAAAATGTAAATTGTTTTAACACTTGAGTTGTTGCTCAAAAAAGTGTTAAACAATATGTACTTAAAACACTTGTGTAATCTGCTTAGAAGAAGCGATCATCTAAACACAAGAACCCTATCAACTGGTGTTGATTGATTCCTTGAGAGACTTGGTGAAGGTCTGATCTTAAGAAGATAGTGGTTGCGGTCATTATAGGAAATCCTAATATAAGATCTTAAGTGATCAGATTCTGTTAGGTCAATGATAGTCATATCTCAAAGGGGGCCGAGTGAAGGTCGGACTCTTGTGAGATCACTTATAGATATCATTGTAGAGAAACTCCTCTTGGATGACCTGGTTGGTCATATTCCTGATAGAGGTCAATGATTTTTATATTCATTAAATCGGATCACTTAACATATTATTGAAAGGTTCCTTGAGTGACTTTGAGAAGGTCTAATCTTAAGAAGATAATGGCTGCAATCATTAATGGAAATCCTAATAGGAGATCTTAAGTGATCATATTTTGTTGGGTCCATGATTGTCATATTCGTTAAATTGGATCACTGAATATATCATTGAGAAGTTCCTTGAGTGATCTTGTGTATGTATGATCTCAAGAAGACAGTGGTTGCAGTCATTGTGAGAAACCCTGATAGGAGATCTTAAGTGATCAGATTCTATTGGGTCAATGAACTTTATATTCATTAAATCGGATCACTGAACGTGTTATTATTTGTTAGTCACCAGATGTTGCTCGTGCACTTGTAATCAGTTTGGTTATAGTGGATTAAGTCCTTGGATAAGGCAAAATCATCCTTGAGGGGTGGAAAAGAGTAACTTAGTTAACGACGAACCTAAATAAACCACTCGTTTCCTTTATTCTTCATTGTATTTATAGCTTTCATCATTTGAATGATTAAATTTTCAAAAGGAAAATATTTTCTATAAACACAATTCAAACTCTCATTTCTTATGTTTTCTCTACCTTCAGTTTGTGTTTCATGTTGCTAATTTCTATTATATGCTCTCTTTCTTTTTTCTTTTTATTACTTTAATGTCTTATCCACATGTCACTTGTTAACTGGACCGATTTAAATTTTGTAAAAATGAACATATGGACACCTTTCTGAAACGTGCGAGGGAGAGTATGCAACTCTTGTTTTTTTTCTTCCTTTTTTTTGGTTATCTCATGATTTAATAATGGTTTGTGTTTTTATTTTTTATTTTTAACAAGTATGCCAAGTTTCATGGTGTTAGTGGGGAGAGTTATAACTTTGAAAAAGTTGAAGTTATATTTGTTCTCTTTAATTTTTTCTTTGATTTGGTAAATTGAGTTAGAGAAAATAAATGGTCTCTACTGCTACTGTAACGTCACTCTTACCATTTCTTTACTTCTTTATATTTTGTTTAGTTAGTTAGAATTAGGATTAAACATAATTAATTAAGATTTATGAGAAAGATGGAATGACGAGTTCCGTGTTTTGGAAAGGTTTCAGCGAAACAACCTGCCGATCTTCAAGGGCACCCGTGATCCTGACGGTGCACAGGTGTGGCTCAGGAAGATCGAGAAGATCTTTAAAGTGTTGGCTTGCTCAAAGAAACAAAAGGTGCAGTTTGGTACCCACATGTTAGAAGCAGAGGCTGACAACGTCCGTCATAGGATGGTGATTTTGGGTATAGAGATCACTTGGGCTGTTTTCAGAGTTATTTTCTTAGAAAAGTACTTTTCTGAAGATGTGCGTGGCAAGAAGGAGATTGAATTCCTTGAGCTGAAACAAGGGAATTCGAATGTTTCTAAGTATGCTACCAGATTTGAAGATTTGGTGAAGTTCTACCCGCATTATAATCATCTGATACTGAGGAATGTAAGTGTATTAAATTTGAGAATGGGATACATCCAGAGATTAAGCAGGGAATTGGATATCATGAGATTCTCCATTTTCCCGTGCTAGTGAATGAGTGCAGAATCTATGATCAGGATACCAGAGCCAATCTTCTTTTTATAAGAGTTATAACAAGAAGAAATGGAAGAACCAGGATCATGGTAAGCCGTATAGTGCTCCTGCTGACAAGGGGAAGCATAAAGTTTTTTATGAGAAGAAGCCAAGTGGGGGAGGAGCTTCCGTTTCTGTCAAGTTCTTTAAGTGTGGCGAGCAAGGTCAACGTGTCGATAGCTACAAGAATAAGGTGCTGAGATGTTACAAATGTGGTAAGACATATCATCATGCTTCTGAGTGCAAGAATGAATGTCCTACTTGTTTCAACTATGGTAAACAGAGTCACATCATTACCCAGTGTCAGAAGTCGAAGAAGACGGCTACTGCTGCTCAGACTAAGGGCAGAGTATATGCTTTGAGTGGTTCAGAGATTCCTAAGAAGGATAACCTGATTCAAGGTACTTATTTTATTAATAATGTTAAGTTGATTGTTATTATTGATAGTGGTGCTTGTAATATGGTGGGAGAACTGAATTATTTTGCGTTTTATCGTAAATGTTACGGATAGCAAGATTCACCATCGACTTTTCTTTTATCCAATAAGGAAAGGGTGAAAAGAATAAGAAAGACCTTAAATATTTTGAGTTCGGGGGGTAAGTTATAAAAAGGGAAGGTGTTAGCACCCTTTTCATTCGTAGTTATCTACAAGCTCTTAATCGCTTAGCTCACCTTTTGAAAATTGCTTTGTGTTGTGTATTTGAAAAATATTTTGAAAAGTTTCCAAATGTAAGGCGATTTTTTTAATGATTCTCGTATTTGTCCTCGAGAATGCGTACAAAGTGTTTTGAAAAAAATTCGAAAGTGCTTGTGTGAAATATTTTGTTTTGAAGAGCTTTGTGAGCAAGTGATTAAGAGTTCTACCCTACTCAATGTCGTTCTTGTGTTTTCCTCCTCCTTTAGATAGTGATATTTGTACCATTAGTTAGTAGGAAGCCTTATCGTTGGATGTGAAGGGACATGTGAGGGTCATCGTGCAGTCATCGAAGGCAACTGGTAAGGACGCTTTAGAAATTTTCGTAAGGGACTAGATCATTTACCGAAAGGAAATATCGAAAGGGTCACCGAGGGACTATGATCTTTGAATCGAGGGACTTTGCTAAAGCGTCCCCACATTCGAGGGACATGACTTTTTCCCGAAGGCAACAAGGGAGGTTACCCTAGAGGTGTAAGTGTACAAGTGTTTTGTATTCAATTATTTTATCTTTGTAGTTAGGGTTTTATAACGATTCATTTTATTCTTTTTATGCAAATCCTAATTACTAAGCAGTAAACATAAAATAATAAAAAGCAATAAAGTGTGGAAAGTAAAGGCCAAAAGTAAACCCTAAACGATTACATCGCTTTGGGGCAGTTACATAATAGTAGATTGCGGAAAGTAAAAACCTAAGATATTACAACCCGTAAAGAGTTACATAATAATGAAATAAAGGAAATGCGGGAAATAAGAATTACATCCGTGAAAGCACAATTGATCTAAAAAGGTGAAAATAGAAAAGAGAATATTTTTGGTAATTTTATGAAAAAAGGATTTGTGATTAATTAA